TAGTCCTTGGCAATGCAGGGTGCAGGGTGCATGATACGAGTGCAATTATGCGTCGATGGAATATCATAGTCATGTACTAGGGCAGTAGTTTCGACATCAACGTTGACTGTAGTAAACATCCATTCCGTCACCACGACCTTGCCCGTTGAAAGGCATCAGCTACCGTCGGACGACTCCAACGTGCCTCTGCATGGAGTAATGTAATGCCATGCATACTACATACTAGTACGTCAAGGTCCTCAAAGGTAAACATCCAACCACGTGATATTAACGACACTCCTGAAGTAGAATTTATGCACTTGTGTGCACTTGAATTGGAGAAATGTAGATAGGCCACTGTCAACAACTTGTCCCGTAAATAGTTCAATACTTGCTTCATAACAGAGATATACTTACTTCTCTTGTGTGCTTATGGCCCACATACTAGTAAGAATTTCCATAAAGTCTTGATATTCGCAAACGCGTCCAGCTCGACTATCAACATACTAGTATCACTATAACTCTTCCATAACGATCGCTCCTTCCTACCACGTACTAATACAACGCAGCACAACTTGCGCACTGCTAACGTGACATACCTAGTGCTATCAATGGCATTACCATTAGGACGCCTCACATTCCCTCTTGGCATGTGACGTGTGCGATAGAGGAGGATTGGCAATTTGTGATTTTCTTGAGATCTCATTGGACATGAAAATCGTAGGACCAGCTCCCTACGATTTCGTCAATTCACAAATGAACTGCGAAATTTTATGTTTGCTACAAATTCGTATATAACTTGGAAAAAAAACGAGGTGGAGGATTTCGAAATGGCGAAATCGTAGGTGTGCGCCTACGATTGAGGAACTCGATCTTTCATCATGCGATGTGCAGCATACTAGTAGGAAATATCATGGCACAAAAACATTTCCAATTGGCTGCTGAGCAAGTGGATAGATAGTGTTCCAAAGGTTTACTAGTACAGTACTACACTGGAGGCTTGATCATACGTCAAGAGGTCTACTATCGTTAAAGTTATTAAATTTTTGGTACTTCGAAGTATTTTTTTTGTAAATTGTAACTCCTCAAACTCCGCACTTGATTCCAACCCTGTGCTGACTGTGCGGAGTTAAGGGAGAACTAACTGTACGCACAATATAGCCCGTTCTGCCTATAAAGTAGAATTATCTCATGAAAGTCCATACCGTACAAGTAGTGGAATGCTCGACTTGCATGTTTTATTATGTCATTTTTTAGTTACCTAGGAGTAAAGTGTACTTTGGTGAAGTCACGACTCAAGACTACAACATAACGTTTCTGTTGTATTGGAGTTGAAAACCACAAACCGCTAGAACAATTGACACAATACGAATTCATTTTACGTCGAGCTCGTGGCTCCTAATCACCACACGACGGCTTGGTGGACGTGACGCCTCCGCCGTTGAACACGGTGACTTCCTTGGCGAATTGGTTGATGCCTTTGTACACTTCGAGGCCGTGTGTCGGGATGGTCGACACGTTCACGGAAAAAGTTTTGCCGACAATTTCAATCGTCAGGGCGGGTTTTTTGAACTCACGGAACGCGTAATCTGGGAATACACCATACGCCAAGTAAAATCCGTGCGCCGGTTTAGGGGTGTACGCCCCCATGGCGCTTTGCAATCCACGGCCGAGGACTTGGAACTTCTCGTCAACCCCCCCGC